ACCTTTGTGTGCTTCCCCCTGTCCCCAGGCCCTAATTGGCCTGTGGGCGGGGAAGTGGCAGGGCCTTCATGGGCCGGATCAACCCGCTTGGTGGGCCAGATCTGGCCTGCAGAGGCCCTTTTGCCCACCCCTGTGCTAAGGTAAAAACCACAGTATTAAGATCTTCTGTTCTTTCTTATGCCATGCTGGGTATGATGTGCATGTTTCAAAATCCAAAGACTTTCAGACATAAGGGTCCCCTCCCCTGAGATGTCAGACCTAAACACTACTGCCCCAAAATAACATTCACAATACTAAGGGCTTTTTTGCCACACTCACAATAGGCTCCTTGAAGAAACAGGCATGTTGAGTGTGCGCCCACATGCACACGCACAGCTACATGTTTTACTGGTTGCGAGTGTATTACCAGGTGACTGTCACACCGATAGGTCTCTGAGTGTTCTAGTACAACACAATCTGTTCTAGTACACGTCTTCTATTACAACACAATCCAAAGCCTTGTGCAGAAAGTAGCTCAAAGGGCATCATTAAATCAGTTAAATGGCTTGGGAAAACAGGTAAGATTACTGTCAGGTTTCAAACCTTACCACAGAATCAAAATAGGGGGAGCAATAAGCAGGAGGTAAGACTGATAAAAGCTCTAGAACCAGCTGTTGGTTTTTCCTAAACAGCCAAATGATTTCTTCATTAAACTCCTGTGCAAACCAGAAACTCATGCCCAGGGACCCCAGGCCACAGCCCAGGTTGGCAGAAGAGCATAAATGTCCAGGGTGGTAGCTAAGCACAACAGTGACTGGGGAAATCTTGAATCTATCAAAAGCTATCTGTAATGTTCAACCATTAACCTTGCCCTGGGATGAAAAGCAACTCCCAGCTTCTCAGACCCAGAAACAGAAAGGAGATGATCACCATTAACATCTCAAGGCAGAGGAGCAGCAGCTGTTAAGAGTTTATAGTTGGTACCAATAAAGAGAAGCCTTTAGATACAGTACAAGAAGTTCTAGCTGTCATGTGGCAGCCATAGCATTGGCCTGCTAGAAGAGTTACATACATCTGGGTTACTTACCATGAAACAAACAAAGCTCATAAAAAGCATCTACCAAAAAAAGAGGAAAAAGGTAAATGAAGCAGGCTGCAACAGAGCCTATGGCACCTAAACTTTTCCTACTGGCAAAGACCTCTTTGTATTCTTTGCTTCATCAGACAAACTCACTGAGGGTCATAGAGAGAAAGCCCTTGATGGAGCTGTAAAGACGTCACCATTCTTCACATGAGCTCCATGACCCCCAGTAATAAAATTAGTAGAAAACCCAGTAAAAATTAAGAAATGCTTCTTTTGGGATGAAAGCCATTGCAAATCCCAAAGACTGAGGTGGCAGGGCACAGATTGAGGTAACCCATGTTGTTTAAAACCAGATCAATCTAGGGTTGCCAGGTGTCCAGTTTTGAACCAAACAGTCCAGTATTTGAGCTTTCTGTTCAAGAAACAAATTGAGAAAATAGAAATGAGAAAATAGAAATGTCGGGTATTTTCTAGCTAAGATGTAATGCAGATTGTGAGGTAATGTCAAGGGTGTCCGGTATTTTTGTTGAAACCATCTGGCAACCCAAGACCAGTCTCTCTCAAATATCTGTATGATAGGCAAAACAGGAGCGAGCCAGGTAGCAATAAGGTGCCATCATGCAGACATCTTTCCCAGAAATGAGGTCCGGAAAGGAGCTCAAAGCTACCAATATGGTAGGAGGAAAGCTGAAATTTTCTAGCTACAAAACAAACAGTTTATTTTCAATAGGCCATTGCCTCAGGCTCATGCTCACCCACCAAGCATAAACAGCATAAACAACCTAGAAAATAGCAACAAGAGAAAGAGTCTGATTCCAATACAGGTGCAAATAAAAATGAGAGCAATTAAACTAGCCCATATTATAGTCCAAAAAATATGCAACCCTAATTCAGTGACTGAAAAACAAAATATTAAATCTTACAGTGCTCTAATATGGGGTATCCATCTTGGATTGTTCTGGAGGGCATTGTGGGCAGCAACTTTGCTGTAATTAGTTTACTCAGGAAAGCTATGTTTCAGCTACAGCACCTCATTTTAGTGAGATTCTGCTTTTTCTCAGCTGACCTGACAAACACAGAGCAAGTGACCTAGACTAGTGTTGACTGTCTTCTCTCCCTCCATCCAGAACTTGACCATTGTGCTGAACCCTTAATAAATCAGTGGTCATTACTTGGAGTTATGGATTTTTAGCTGCAGTCTCAAAAATAGGGTCTTTCCAAATCATAAAGATGCAAAAATGCCGCCACTCTAATAGATCTGATCTGTCCAACCTCTGGTGGAAGTGCCAGATTACCCATGAGGTGCTGCATACCAGCATGTGATGTCCTATCCCCCTGGACAATCAGGCTGCAAGTGCCACCCAGAAGCTGGCCAGGCCTAAATGCTACAGGGCCAAAGAGAACAAATTCAGAGTGAGGAGACTGACCTCTAGAGCCATTGGCATGCATGGATTTAAGGCCATTGGAAAAGGTACTGCTGCACCACATTACAAAGCCTGGTAACATTCAAGTTATTGATGATCTCGTACCCACAGGAGTCACAAACAGTATGGGGCAAATGGGTGGGAACCCCTATGCCTATTATTTGCCTTCCTCCTGTAATCAGGGTTCAGAATAAGGTGCTCTAAGAAGGTTGCCCAACGTAACAGGTTTAGAGAAATACACGCTGGCCTGGAACAGCAGCTGATACTAGGACCTTTGGGCATGCAATGGCATTTAAATTAATGAAGACTGTCCCAGAAATACCATGGCCATTAACGGCATGGACACCACTCCAGTTTTCCTGGGAGACCAGGGCTGACCACCTGGCAAATGAAGCCATTCACAAGCAGTTTGGATAGAACAGTGGTTCCCAGCCTTTTCAATCTGTTAAAAATTTAAAGGAGCCCTTAAGTGGAGCGGCAGGAAGTAGTAGCCAGCACATCCCTTGACCCATGCTGTTTCTTCAGCTCTCGGCCCCTCTGTCCCCTGCCCATCCATGGTGAGGGGGCTCTCGTGGCAAAAGGCAGCTCCTGCCCCAACACTCTGCCCTTGTCCAGGCACAGAGCCCTGGGGGAGAAAAAACAGAAATGGAAAAGAAAAGGAAGGTTCGAGCCCACTGCGGCACTGGGAGGGGGGAGAGGGCTGGAGCGTAACTGGCAGCACAGCTGGTGGCGGGAGGACAGATCATGCCTCCTGGAGTATCAAGATCCCATCCCGAGGACAGGAGGCAGTGTGTGTGTATCCAGTCGCTAATGGCGAGCCCCGGATGAGAATCGCCGGGCAGAAAGTCCCAGCCTGGCGCTGGGCCTGATCCTGACTTTTCTTTTCCTAAACTTTCTGCGGACTCCCTACAGCGCCATCGCAGACTATCAGGGGTCCACAGACTACAGGTTGGGAACACTGGGATGGAAGAAAAGAACTGTAACTACCGCCTCAGTATTTGCAGAGCATGCCTTTGTCCATTTGAAAGGGAGATAGTGCTGTTTACAGGCGATCTATCTTGGAAGTATCCGAGGGTGGAGGAGAGAGCAAGGGAGGAAGTCTTACTATGGGTAGGAAGGTGTGATGCAGAGACTAGCTCTGCAGTTTGAGTAGCCAGCAAGGCAACCAAGCCAAATGCAAAGTCCGGCAATACTGTTCAGGATGCCTGTGATGCTACACCCCCATATTTTTATGGAAGTATATTTTGAATATATGCATGTAGCCTGTCACTAAAAAGTTGTGATTCATTGAATGTTTATATTCTATTTGTGTGCATTTACCATTCCTGTATTTGAAATTATAAATATGTAGTGCAAACCTGTTTATTCTGTATGTACTAGTGAAGATCATTAGCAGTACGCGGAGAACTTAATGGCCCAGTACTGAAGATAATGGCAGGTTAATAATCTTGTTTTTCCAGTAAGTGTGGTCTATAGCTGGTCCTACAAAGACATGTGACTATGCTACCTAGTGGTGGAATCTATCTTGTACTTTTCCACATGGGATGAAAAATTTAACAAAGATTTCACATCCTAGGACAGGGGTCGGCAATAATTTTTGGCTGGGGGCCACTTCAAAAATTTTTTGGTTGGTTCAGAAGGGGCAGGCCCCAGAAGGGGCGGGGCCAGAATGCTTCTGGGCTTCTCCACTCCCAGACCACAATTGGTCTCGGGGTGAGGGAGCCCCTTTGCCCCCTCCCCACTAGGCACCCATGCCCCTGGCAGGGCAGGAAGAGGCTTCACACACTCCCTCACCCCGAGGCCCTGATTGGCCTGGGGATAGGGGGAGTGCACAAAGCCTCTTCCTGCTCTACCCCTGCCCTGCGAGAAGCTTGTGCGGCATTTCAAAGTGCCAAGCGCTGCTTGCAGGCGGAAAGAGACATCACATGCTCCCCCGCCCCCAAGTCCTGATTGGCCTGGGGGCAGGGGAGCTGTGTGAAGCTTCCTTCACCCTGCTCCTGCCCTGTGTGAGCATATGGCACTTTGATTGGCCTGGGGGTGGGGGAGCAGCAGGGCCTCCGTGGCCCGGATCAATCCACTTGGTAGGCCAGATCCGGCTGCGGAGGTCCTTTTGCCTACCTCCGGCCTAGGGAATTCTATATACAGGTTGCACCTCTCTAGTCTGGCACTCTCAAGACCTGACCAGTGCTGAACCAGAAAATTTGCTGGACCACAGGAAGTCAATAGTGTCTGGCAGTATTACCAACACTCCCCTGCTTGCTGGGCTGTTAGAAGACATTGAGAGGTAAATTAAAGCTAAATAACAGCAAATAACACTGGGAACCAGGACTGGTTGCTGTAAGCAAACTTTATGGGACCATGAGAAACTTGGCCACGCCCAGGATCAATAGACATCCAGCTTACTAAAATCATTCTGGACCATGGATATTACCAGACCAGAGAGTACTTGACTAGAGAAGTTCAACCTGTTCAAGCAATGCGAAGCAAACACAAACAGCCCTTCCCCCAGAGAATACATAAAAACAGCTAGAAACAAAAGAACTCTAAGAACCAAAATGAAAAGGAGCTGCTGGACCCACATCAGTAAAAGATCAGTTCTGTCTGGAGAAGGACTTCACCTGAAATAAGAACCAGGGTGAGAAATTACAATATGTAACAACTTCTCTTATTTTATTAGGCTTACCTGGTGTGTTTTGTTTTAGTTTAGTAACTTACTTTGATCTGTCTAACACCACTTAAATCCTATTTTTATACTTAATAAAATCACTTTCATTTCTTAAACTCATTGTAAATAATTTTTATGGTGGGGACACAATAGCTGCGCCTATCTCTCAAGAATAAAGAGGGCAAATATTACAAGCTTGTTCTGTGTAAAACTTCTAAGCAGAGTAAGATGGCTTTATCTGGGTTTTAATCCCATCAGACTGTGTACTAGGGTGCTCTGACTGAGCCTTCCCAGAGCTGAGCTGTTCTCAGTGTGTGTGTTGCTCTGCTATGAGCGGTGTCTGTACCCCAACTCTAGACCCTGCAGCATTCTTAAGGGGACACAGGGTCTAGGACAACCCCCCCCCCCACATACACACACAACCCAAGCCCCAACATCTTCACACCCCTGCCACTTCACCTTTTTCCCCAAGCTCCACCCTACTCCATTGCCTGCTCCCACTTCTTGTCCGAAGCCCCTTTCCTTGAGAGATGTGACCTGGGGTATTACCATGGGGCCGTCATGGTGAAATGGAGCAATCTGGCTAGGAGATGATGCCACAGCAAAACAGGCTGCTGGGTCACTCTGCTTCTCATGGCTGCCACCTCACAGCAGGACCCATGCTAATCCTCCACAGCTAACACAGGGGACAGTCCTGTTGACAGGACGGTTGAAACAACTGCCATGGGGCCTTCCAAAGCATGGGTTCTGGGGCAGCAGCCCTAAACCAAGCTATGAATAGAATGGTTCTGTCTGGGCCTTTACTGGGGGAAACCAGAGAGTCTGGCTCAGCAGGACACAGTGGTGTGGCACGCCAGCATGTGGATAGGTGGGATGAGTGGTAGGATCCGCCCTTCAAGTGACAGTCTCAAGGGGATCTCTGTGGCCCAAACCATCATAGTACCATGCCTATTGGTCTTATTTTGGGGCTCAGGCCAAAAATGGTGCCGCTGTACATCTAGCTGTTAGCTCAGAACGGGTGTTGGAAGATTTTTGTATCGTGCAGGTGTCATTGGCAAGGAAAGTGTAATGGGATAGTCATGCCTACTGCATCTCATGAATCGGCACAGAATTGTTTGTGTGTAAAATGTGCGGCTGACTCCTTTGAATGAGATCTGAAAAAGGCTTTTATTATTAAGCATTCTGCCAAGGGTTATCAGGTGACTGCTTAACAACTTGCTCCCCTCCCCCTTGCTGCCAGTTCCCCCCAGCACCATCTCCACAGCACACGGCGGCAGGGGAGAAAGAGCGGCAGTGATTCCACAGCCGGCGTA